TTGCTGCAGGGTGAATGCCCAGTCTTCTCACTCCCCATCACGGGGCCCAGCCCCCCAGACCACCCTCGTGATATGGACAATTACCACTTTCTTATTGTGCACTTTCCTTAACTGGCCCCATCTTCCCAGCCCTTCCTCTGGACCTCATGGTCCATCACTAGCAACTTCTTCTGTGAGTGTTCCTTTCATTGAAACAGCTATCTTCTGAGGACACTGTTTCTTGCTGTCTCAAGTGGTAGCTGCTTTTTCTCCCATATACTGTATTCTACAGGGCCTGGAGGTAAGGTCCACATCCTCTTTGCTCCCCATTACCGCTTCTAAACCGCCTCTCTTCCTTTATCCTTCAGAAGCCCCAGCCCCTGGCAGTGTATGTCATCATATTTGACCTCTCCTTTCCCCTTCTTTATGCTATTGGCTGCTGGCTGCCTACTCACTCCTCACATTCCTAGGGGCCCCTGGTTCATACACTCCCTCCCACCATTCCTGTCTTTAGCATCTCTGTGATCAGTGGCTCTCAGCAGAGGTGGCACCATCTCCTAGGGGCATTTTGCAAATCTTTGAGGTTTTTTTGTTTGTTTTCTAATATAGTTGTGCCCCAGAATTTGTTTTGAAATTTATATTGCCTGGTTATAAATGATTTGTCCTGTTTTGTTTTGTTTTGTTTTGTTTTTTTAACATTATCTGTTTAGGGCATTTTTTTTAAAAAAAGAAATCATGGTAGCTTATTTTATCTTGTGAATTTCACTTCAGAATAAGTAAGAAAGGGGATATTAAACTATATTTGTTTTAAAAGGGGGCATTTGGTCTGATAGCATTGAGGATGGTTGATGCAGATAATCTGTCCAACTCCTTGGCTACCTCATTACTCCATGGGCCTTTTCCTTTAGCCCACCTCAGCCCTTGCCCAAGAGGACATTCCCTAGACCTCATCATCACCAAGAACCACACCACTTCCAAAGTCTGGATTTAAACATCCTACTCTCTGAGCATCACTCCCCCTCACCATCCTTGTAGATCACTGACTCTAGCAATTCTGTAACTTCAAAGAGACCTCTTGGCATTGACCCTATCACTTTCCATTTTTCCTTATCCCTTTTGTGTATCACTTTCCTTCTCCCCGGCCTAGACTCCATGGGCCAGTGTGATAACTACTCCCTTGCAAACATCCATAATTCTCATTGTCCTCTCTTATGTCTCGCTTGCCTGAGAAAAGTCCATACTGGTTAAACGCAACTTTCATACTCCATAGGTGCTCCTAGAAGGCAGTTGAAGGTATGGAGAAAAGCCACACAACTCATTTCAAATTTGTGGCCACAAATCTCAAATGGACACTCAACACTGTCAGACAATTCTTTTACATCTCCTTTGTAAATTCAGTCTCCCATTTTCCAAGATAATCATTTCCCACTTTTTCTTCTCTCCACAAATCTTCAACACTTCCTCCTGTATCCCTTCCATCTTAGCTGATGACATAGAAGAGACAGAGGCACTTGGATGAGAACTACCTGATTTTCACATCTATCATCCTCCCTCCACCTGTGCCTACTAAGCCAATGGCACTCCTCATTCCACCTGAGCTGCCCTCTCAATGGAATTTGAGAGTTAGCACACTCTCTTTCTTGAAACACATTCTTCTCTAGATTTCTGGGTCTACACACTTGCTGGTCTTGCTTCTATACCATTTATTGCTCCTTTAGAGCCTCCTTTGCTGGCTCTACCTCCACCAAACCTGTATACATGAGAAGGCCCAGGAATCTGTCATTGGCCCCCTTCTCTTATCTGTCTACCTTCTCTCCCCAGGAGATCTGGGCCATTCCTAAGGCTTCAGATTCTACCTCTACACTGATGACTTATACCTCCTGGCCAGACCTCTCCCTAACCTCAGACTCATATGTCCAACTGCCCACCTGGACCTTCCAGTGAGATTTCTATCAGATATCTTAAATTACCATAACCAAAATATAACTATTAATCACTGTGGAAGGCTGCATAATGGCCCCCACAGACATCCAGGTCCTAATCCCTGGAGACTGTTAATCTTACCTTATATGGCAAAAGGGACTTGCAGATGTGAGTAATTTAAGAATCGTGACATAGGGAGAGAATCCTGGATTATTTGGGCAGACCCAATGCAATCAAAAGTGTTCTTATAAGAGCGAGTCAGAGAGAGACATTGACAGAAGAGTAGGAGATATGACATTGGAACAAAGAGGTGGAGCGATGTAGGGAAGAGACAGGTGATGCAGGCGACTTCTAGAAGCTTAAAGGCAAGGAGATTCATGAATCCTCCTCTAAAAGTCACCAGAAAGAACCAGTCCTCTGACACCTTCACTTTAGACTTCTGTCTCCAGAACTGTAAGAGAACACATGTGTGTTATTTTAAGCCACTGTGTGGTCATTTGTTACAGCAGCAACAGGAAACTGATATAGTCATGACCACAGCCACACAAATTCATACCCCCTACCCTCCTGCCGTCCACATATTAGTAAATGGCACCACCACAAGAAGCTCCTGAGTTGTCCAGATTTTCCTCTTGACTCATACCTTACCTGTCAGCAAGTCTGTGAGCACTACCTCTACATAAACCCTGACCACACAAGTTCTCACAGAATCCACTGCTATAACCCTAGTCTAGGCCACCCTCCCTTCCTGCTTGAATCACTACAGCCCTTCCTGCTTGAATCACTACATCACTTCCTGCTTGGTCTCCTGCTCCTATTCGTTTCCCTCATCCAGTTCCACAGGATCGAGAATGAACTTTCTGAAGGGTAAACCAGATCACATCACCCCGACCCTCCCATTAAAACCCTTCAGGGGCTTCGCATTATAATTAGGATAAAATAAAAATCCTTTGCCTTGGCCTATAAGGCCTTATCATATTGACCTCTGCCCTACCTTATCTCTCTTTGTACTTCCCACCCATCACTGCACCCTGGCCACACTGACCTTCCTTCCTGACCCATGTGCATTCCGTTCCCACCTGCTGGCCTTCACACTTGCAGTTCCTATCACTAACATGCCCCTCTGCAGATCTTTGCATGGTCCCCTCCTCATCATTTACATGTCAACGTAAATATCACCTCCCCCCAAAAGGCCTTTCCCGCCTCCCTCTCGATAAAGCAGGACCCTCAGTGTCTATTTCACCCCATTTTATCTTCCTTGTAGCATTTGTCAGCACCTGACATAGTCTCATGGGTTTGGTTACGTGTCCACTGCGTGTCTCTCCACTAGAATATCAGCTCTGGGAAGGCAGGACTCTGGTGTCCTGCTCACTGCACCAGCCCCAGTTCCTGGAACAGAGTAGGCACATAATCCATTTGATCTGCCTGGTTGTGTGGCGTGGCTTCTTTCTGGCTCTAGGCTGCTTCTGGCCAGTATAGCTGGGTCCAAGTCCTCTCTCCCAGGGGTGTAGTTCAGTAGCACTGGGCTATTTGTTAAGTAGCAGAGAGTTAACCAGTGGAATTCCAGACTTCATTCGGCAGGTACAGAATGCCCATGGTCCTGTTCATGGTGCCTTTGAGAGCACACGGTTCATTCAACATCTGCCAAGTGCCAGGTGCCATGGCTACGTGGTAGAGGGAGGAAAATACACTTCTACCATGCCTCAGTGGATGATGATTTGGGGTTTTGTCAAGCCAAGAAGTGGGAGGGGTGGAGGAGAGGTAGGCAAAAGCGTTGCCCGTAGGCACACGACCATTTCATGAACTAGGTATGGCAGCCTTCCACCTTCCCCTTCTGAGGACACATCGAGCCTAGGAATACAGGGATGGTAGCCCTGTGGCTCAGCACTGAAAGGGAGGTTTGAAAAGAACAAATGAAACCCATACAAATCCAGTTGGCTCCAACTTCTCTCTTGGTGGATACGCGCAGGGAGACAGTTTTTCCAGCAGTGACCTCCGGTCTCTTACTCGGCCTTTGCTTTCCTCTCTCCCTGGTGCCGCAGGTCTCATCGTGCACGAGGGACCCTCCGTGTACCGCATCTTTAAACGCTGGCAGGCTGTCAACCAGCAGTGGAAAGTGCTGAACTATGACAAGACGAAAGACCTGGAGGATCAAAAGTCGGGAGGCAGGACAAACCCCCGGACCTCCTCAGCCACCCAGGCCAATGCCCCCTCCTCAGAAGAGGAGGCCGGGGACACCCCGGGCCCTGAAGAAGGCCCTGCTCGGGCGGCCAGCCATCCCTCAGGCCCTCTGTCCGATCACCACTGTGCTTACACCATCCTGCACATCTTGAGTCACTTACGGCCTCATGAACCGCGGAGCCCCCAGGGCGGGAGCCGGGAGCTTGTCATGAGGGTCACGACAGTGTGAGAGGAGACACCTGAAAGGGAGGCCGTGACCATGCACAGAGACGGGGAGGCGGGGCCGGGAAGGGGCGGGGCCCAGCGGGGCCGCAGTCTGGGGAGCAGGTGTGGGGAGGCCAGGGGGCACCCCAGGGGCCTGAGGAGAGGGCAGGCAGAGGGCGGTGGGTCTTGAGGGGGCCCTGGAGGCAGGGTCAGAGCTGGAGTGAGTGAGGCTGGTGTCCAGAGAGCTTTCGTGATTCCGATCAGTCAAGCCCAATCTCCCACAAGAGCAAGGAACTCCAGGACAAACTCAACAAGGAAGTGCAATCCAGCCGAACCGAAGGAAGCACAAGGACAAGAATCCTGGATGTGCCCATGCACAAAACACCTGGGAGAAGTGGGGGTTGGGGGAGGGTGAAGCCGGTGAGTTGGTGGTGGTGGTGCCCCTGTGTGCACCAGAGCTGGGGAGGAAAAATCCAAAGCGTGCACGAAGGAAAAGCACTGTGGCCTGCCTTGTTTTCCCCTCGAGTTTGCTTTTGTTTCTCCTGGGGCTGTGTTTGGGGCTGTGGTGGGGAGGGAGAGGGATGGGTGTGGGCTGGCAAGGATGACAGGCAGCATTGGTGGCCCCTGGGCTCATCTGGGTGGGCAGGATTCCTGACTCAGATGGCTTTAGGGACTCTGGGGTCATAGGCAGGGAGGGAGATGTTGGAGTGAGCCCCCAGAGGGAGGGCGATTTCAGCTTCTCCCAATTTCAGAGGGCTTAGGCTTAGGCTTCAGCTCAAAGAGGGCTTAGGTTTGGAGATGGGTGTCTTTTCGTGCCCTTGTTACTTTATTTTATGGTGGTTTGGCTCAAAGATGTTTACAAGAAACACACACACAACTAGAGAAAAGTACAGATTTCCCGTGGGTATCTCAAGCACAGTCCTGCTGCTGTGGCTTCAGCCTTCAAAGTTGTCAATCCAGGAGTGACTTTCCCGACTACCCAACCCTGCCTGTGGCCAGGACACGCTCAATGTCATGCCTTCTCCTGCTTTGGCGCATGCAGAGACCCAGGGCCCCCCAAGGGCAGAGCACTTCCCACCCAGGGTCTCCCAGGATAGCTGCTGCAGCGGATGGGAGGAAGTTGGCAGGACATGCCCCCAAGGAGTGGAGTGGAGACCAATCTAAGTATTCCTTGCAACTCGGGACCCTCCCCCGAGGGCAGTCATCCCTCAGTGCTACAAACTCCCTGGTCCCTCCCATGCAGCTAGGCAGGGTGCAGGGACCCTGGCAGGGAGCACTGCCCTTGAGCCTACATGCTGGCTCCTGGGACCTTGCCAGGAAGACCACAGTGGGGTGGTCACCTGCAGAGTTTCTCATTGTCAATGCACAATGGCCGCGCCATCCATGGGTATTAAAGGGACACTGTCAAGTACTTTTTTAAACTAGTTTTTAGGGTTTTTTAAAACTCTCTGTTGTTTGTATTATTCTCTTAAAAGCTTGAAAATAAAATTTCTTTCCCTATCATTAGTGTCCTTTTCCATATGGGAGTTTTTCCTTCCTCCCTCCAGCTGACCCTCTGTGGCATCATCTTGACTCCCCTATCTTCGTCAGCTCCACCCCGAGTGTCTTCTTCCTTGTAAGAAATCAGTTCTCTCTCAGGGCCCAGAGGGAGCAGGTGTGTGTGTGTGAACCAGTGGCCCTGACCTCTCGCTGGCCTCCCAGCAGATGGATTCCTTCAAGTCAAAAAAGAGAACCAACTCCCAAACTCTCCTAAGTTTCTGCCCAGGACTCCTAGAAGCAAAGACCATTAGTGCTCCAGGAAATCTGGAGAGATTTTTCCCCATCAGGTCATTTCAGAGAAGCTGAGAGAACCACAGGAAAGAGGTGTGTTAGGACTTCATTCCCCTGACGGTTTTCCACTGAAGATCAGAAAAAAGCCCCCAGGGCAGGGCTCTGCAACAGGGCTTGCTTGCACATCTCACCAGGCAGCAGACCCTTCCTCCCTTCAACTTGCCTGGGTCCGCTCCGCCTCAGGCCAGCAGTCGGTCAGGCAATGTCCTCAGCGGGATGTGCACAGGCTTAGGAAGGTTCCTCCCTTAATGAAGCTCACGATCCAACAGGTCAGACAAGAAATAATAATTGGCAAGAGACCAAAGAACAGTAAAAGGAAAACACACAAGCAAGAGAAAACCATCAAAATGGTACAAGTAACTCATGTAGCGTGTGTCTACTTCTCCATGCGTTCTAGGAATGGGCCAGTTTAATTCAATATTTATGGAAAATGGCGATGTGTTAGATAGACTATTTCCAAAAAAATACAAAACGCAACAGAATACACTTGTCACCAAAACTATAGTGGTCATCATGCCATCTTTTTTTGGTGATTCACAGGACACTTCAGAATCTTATGGCCATTTGGGGTCATTCAGAAGATGCTGTACTGAATAAGAGGTGATTGATGAGACGTTCTAATAGCATTCTGGAGTTTGTTGGGTCTTGTTTACTGCCAGGACCTACAGTAGTACCTGGCACACAGTAGGTGCTTAATAAATATTCTGAAGGAGGGGCACCTGGGTGGCTCAGTCAGTTAAGCGTCCGACTCTTGATTTCAACTCAGGACATGATCTCGGGGTGGTGAGATTGAGCCCCACATTAGGCTCTATGTTCAGCAGGGAGTCTGCTTGAGATTCTCTCTCTCCTTCTCCCTTTACCCATCCCCCCCCCGTTCTCTCTCTCTCAAATAAATCTTAAAAATTTTTTTTCTTAAAAAATTTTTAAAAAAATATTCTGAATGAGTAAAACACTCCTGGAAGGATACAGGAGTACCTTCAGCATGCTGGAAACATGCCAACTCCTTCGTCAACTCACACTCTAGCTCTCAAGATCAATCACAGAGTAGAAAAGAAATGTCATCTTTTGACTTCTCTACCTAATAGGATGGTAAATTCCCTGTGCCTTGGGAAATGGAATTTATGGGTACAAAAATGAATGGATTGGGTTTTTATATTTTACATACATCTCTGGGGAGCGAGTAGAAGTGCACCCTGACAACCAGAGACCATTGCCCCCTGCCAAATGTGCAAATCACCCTTCACGCCACCAGACAAATGTCTAGACTTCAGAGAATTCACTGTGTGTCATCCACAGGTATGGCCCCATGCATGGGACAAGATACTAGCTAATACCTAATGCTCTCAGTATGTGCCAGGCACCAAATTAACTACTGTATATCAACACATTTCATTCTCCAACAACTGATGAAGCAGATACCATTATTATCTTCATTTTACGGATGTGGACACTGAGGCAAAGAGGTGAAGTAACTAGGCCATAATCAGATAGAATTCAATCCCAGGCAATCCACTCCACTCCACTCCTGCAGGACAACTGCCCAGCTAAGGTCATGTAGCCATACACAGCCGTGCTGGGATTTATACCTCAGCAGCCTGGTGCAGTGTGTTGGGCTGTTAACCACTACGTTATACTGCCTCTCAGGAAAGTGGGAACGTGCGTGAAAGGTTTATCCTGATTTGTGGGGCATGGGAGGAAAATGAATGAGCCCAGATGCCATCTCTGGACCTGTCCCTCAAAGTCAGCGAACGTCACCTGGAACATCCCCATCCCCCATCCTACAAGAAGGTTGATGCCCTCAGCTGGACTCTTAGTAATTTGGATCTTAAAATTTGTTGCAGTTGCTTCCTACTCCAATTTCCAGAATCTCCTGAATTCAAGGTTTCTGTTCCGTCTTACAGTGATTCCTCCACTGTAACTCTAGGTTCAACCCAGCCCAAATGGCGGGCAGGACTCCCCCTCCTTGGCTCTTTCTCCCACCCAAAATTTTACTACTTGCAGTCATGTATATGATAGCTTTACTGGGAATTTGAAGGTAACTTGAAGATTATTCATATAAAAAACCAGTAGTGAGAAACTGCTACGTGGAAGGTTCTTACGAGGTAGACATCTCCAATAGCAATCAGATACAACTATCTTCAAGGGTCTCACTGCCTAGTTACTAGACTCTAGTAAGAGGCTCCGCATTTCTAAACAAAAAAGCTTTGCTCATGAAAGAACTTGACAAGCTCACTCTTATTAACTGTAAATAAGTAAATTAACAATATTCCCTCTCCTGAGGAATTAGCATTTTTAAGAGAAGATCGTGTTTAAGCAAAAACTCTGTAAGTGGTGGGATTTCAATCCTCATCAAGCAGGTGGAGGGTTGTGTTGTGTTCTTTTAGCCAGATGGATCACAGCCACGTATGTGCATTTGACACAGACACACATACAGAAGGACAGAAACACAGATAGTGTATGACAAAGGCATTCCCTAGAAAGTGACCCTGAGTCGAGGCCTGTTGACTGAGCTGCTCTTTGGATTTCCTCAGGAGGACCGACACCCTGTAACAGGTGGAGAGGAGCAGAAGAGGAAGGTCTCTCTCAAGCCCCCTGAGATCTGGAATGTCACTTGGTTTGAGCAGCCTCTGTGTAAAGGCTGGATTTGGGATATCACCACTCTGTTCCAGCCAGTGGCCATTCCAAGGGGTGACTTGTTGAGAGGGGGGCCCTCCACACCCTCCAAGACAGGCTACTATATCCTTTCAAAAAAGAGATATAGAGGGGCGCCTGGATGGGTCAATGGGTAAAGCATCTGATTCTTGATTTCAGCTCACGTCATGATCTCAGGGTCGTGAGATTGAGTCCCACATCGGGCTCCATGCTCAGTGGGGAGTCTGCTTGAGATTCTCTCTCTCCCTCTCCCTTTGCCCCTCCCCCAGCTCTCTAAATCCATCCATACCTACCTACCTACCTACCTACAATCTTTTAAAAAAAGAGAGAGATGTAGAAATTCTCGAGTTGCCACTTCCCTGAACATGCTGAGAGCCTACATCTGCCTGGTAAATCATGCTGACATTATTGTAAGACCTAGCCCCCCTTCAAAGCCTCAAGGCTGAAGTATTATCTCATGCCGTCCATCAGTCCTCAAGTCATTTTGGTGGACACCTGTTGCTTTTGTCCATCCAGTGCACAGAAATCCTCTTTCCCCCATAACATGTGGTTTTGGTAGGGCTAAACCCATAAACCCACTCCAGCCATAG